AATATTGTGAAATATTATTACAATTTGAAATAACCCTGTTTTAATGTATTTCAAAATGCATATTTATTCATATAAATTAATATATTTGATTAATTTATATCTGTGATGACAAAGCTGAATTTTCAGCAGCCATTACTCCAGTCTTGCGTGTCACATGATCCTTCAAAAATTATTTTAATATGCTGATTAGGTGCTCAAGAAACATTTTCTATTGTTATCAATTATGAAAATGGTTCTGCTGGTAATTGTTTTTGGAAACCATGTTACTTTTTTCAGTATTCTTTGATAAATTAATGTACAAAAGAACAGTATTTGTTGAAAGCAACAGTGTTTGTTTTTGTAAATGTTTTTATTGTTCTGTCACTTTTGGTAAATTCTTTAAAAAAAAAAAAAACCTTACTGACCCCAAACCTTTGAACAGTAGTGTGCCTGATAATATTTCAGAAAAAAATGTAACTTGACTATACTTGTCTAACTTGTCTATATAGAGTGGACAACATCTGTATCCATAATGGTTCATATTCTCAAACAAATACTAGAATACAGATCTTTAGCATTTCTGGTACAGCCAAATGCAAAAGCTGGAGTTCTGCTGGCTTTACACATTTATTAACCACTGTTATTAACCAAGAAAAAGTTTTAACACAGGCTTAGCATAATTCCTGGATTAGTTTTTCCATGTTACAGTGTTCATACTTTACTCTTGGTTAGTAATCCTGGTGCAGCACATGACATGTCTGCTGTCTGTCTATCTGAGGAAACTCCAGTTGATGCAATGTGTGTCTCTGTGGTTGCATGGTTGTGTTCATGCCTGCTGCTGTGCATGTGTGTGTCTCTGATGGGATGGGACAGCAGGAGCCTGAGGAAGAGGAGGAGCTCTTTGATAAACCAGGAGATGGAGAGGAAGATGCTTCAGATGAAGATTATGAAGATTGCGTAAAAAATGAGGATGAGGAGGCAAGAGGATGGTCACCCACCTCTCTGAATTCTGAGGCTTCCTCCAGCATGACTGTGGAGGTAATGCAGAGGGATCAGAGACTTCAGCCCCGGACACCTCCTGATGTTTCCTCTGCTTTCTACTGTCATGTTTTCTACATGCTTACTCTTTCCATCACATGGTTCATAGTTCTGCTTTGTCACAAACTTCTGTTTTTTTTTGTTTTTGTTTTTTGCGCCTCCAGTTTAATATAAATATTATCCTGATTTGACTTTTCTTGACAGTGCAGTTTGATTAGATGATGTTATTCCTCATCCCCTAGGGG